AGAATAGAATAGAATAGAATAGAATAGAATAGAATAGAATAGAATAGAATAGAATAGAACTGGAAGGGATCTTGGAGGTCTTCTGTCCAGACCCCCGATCAAGCAGGAGAACCTATACCATATACACATAACTTCAACTCCTGGATCCTCCAACCAGTTGCTGAAGTCCACATGCCTTAAAACCACCAAGTTTGGGAAACACTGCTCTAGAGCAGTGGTCGCCAACCAGTGAGCCGGGGACCTCTGGTGGTCCACGAGAAAATTTTGGTGGCTCACAGAGAAATGTCACCCCCAAACCAATTAATCCAGGCTGCGTGGGAACACAAGGCTGTGCTGCCCAACTGGCCCTTGGAAATACTAGGCTTGCGTCACTTGCATAGCGAACAACATGAGATAAATGAGGGGAGGGGGGAAATGGTGGAGGGGGGAATTTGCCCCACATGCCTCACCTGGCCACTGGACTGCTTCTTTCTGCTTCTTTCTTCTTCTGCTTTTGGCTGCACTCAAGGAAAGCAGCAAAAATTTTCTTTCTCTCCCCCAAACTCCACCAGAAAGGAGTCTATGGGACCCTGCAAGGCATCCTGCTCCAAGAGGCTGTGCCGGCATGACAAGTCTCACACAGACTCATTTCTGTTAGAGTTTGGGGGAGAGAAAGAAAGACTTCTGCTGCTTTCCTTGCATGAAGCCAAAAGTCTCTCTTTCTCCCCCCCGCCCCCACAACACCCCTGAGAATGAAGCTGAAGACGGTATCTTGCTATCCCAAATAAAGAATGATGGATTGGTAGGAAAACAGAGTGGGGAATTTTCCTGCAGACTTTTTTGGGGATTTTCCCAGGGTCTCTGGTCCACAGGATTTAAAATTATGAATTTGGTGGTCCCTGAGGACAGGTTGTTTATAAGTACTCTAGAAGTATTTTCCTTTTAACCAGGAAGAACTTTTAAATAAATGCATAGGAACATGTTGTCGAGTACAGCTAGGAAGTTTCACTATTCTTGGGCTGAAAAATCAGAGCACTTTTCTAGCCTCTGAGATCCAAATCTTTATCTCTGGTTCATAGCTCCTAAACCTGTTTTGCTCAATGAGCCCCACCATGCAATGAAATTGTCTCCTTCCTTAGTCAGCTTCTTCTTCTACCTAGGTCTGGTGTCTAGCCAAACAGGGTTTGCTGACAGATGTTTTGACTGATACCGGGACGCCTTCTACACACCTGGCTCTCTGGGATGTTACCCTGGTATCCGCCTCTTGCCACACATCTCACCTCAGAGTCTGGGACCTCAGCTGTGATCGCAAGCACAAACTACTCCCACCTTATATGGCAAGCAAGAGCTGCATCAGGCTTTCCCACAATGCCAAATACATTTACTTTCCCCAAGATTATTACAGCTCTAGTGTTGTCATTTGGGATACAGAGGCAGGTAAGTGATACCCCTGCCAAAAAGTTTAGCAGAGAAACTTTGGGTCAAATGCTCCGGAACAGAAAGAGGGAAACTTTGGGGGCATTTGGAGTTTGGAGAGCATGTCAGGGGCATTCTGGCAAAATAGCTGTAATAGAGAGACTCACCATTCACAAAGTGACTTACCAGAAAGCAGATTGATTAGATTATATCTCTGAGAACTATATCTCTTCCTTTCCACTGTTGGCAATGTCATAGTTTAAATTGATGGGATATGGAGCATACCTACCTACCAGACTGAGTCAAAGGGGCAAAGACAACTGTAGATAGTCCTGTAACTGTAGATATGACCCCTCTGTTAGTAATAGCAATAGCACTTAAAGGTATATAACCTTTCATAGTGCTTCACAGCCCTCTCTAAGAGGTTTACATATTGCCTTCAACAGTCTGGGTCCTCATTTTACCAATCTTGGAAGAATGGAAGGCTGAGTCAACCTTGAGCAGGTCAGGATTGAACTCCTGGCGATGAGCAGAGTTAGCCTGCAGTACTGAATTCTAACCACTGTGCCACTATGGCTCTGATAGCCAGGCCTCCTATCTTCCATAGATAATGGTTCACCAGGTTTTTCTTTTTCTTTCTGAGAATGCTATTGCCTTGCTTAGCAATAGAAATTCCAGTTCCAACTGTGGTTATAAGTCGAGAAGTACCTACAGCAGGAGGAATTGGCAGTGCTTGTTGACATTTGTCTCCCACCAGGAAAGGAGCATGATAAATTGGATGCATCGGCTCCAGTCCAGTGTCTGGAAGTGGCTGAGCAGAAGAATCTTCTCTTTGTTGGACTGGTTTCTGGAACAGTGCTGGTGTTTCCCTTGGATTCCAGGCAAGATGTTGGTTGCATCCCTCCATCAGAGAACCAAAAACCCATTTGCAACTTGGCACTCACTCAGAATGAAGATCAGCTGGCAGTTGCCTGTGATGACCTTGTGCAGGTCCTGGATCTGCATCAGGAAAAGATGGGTCTCTTGATTGACCGCCCGGCTTACACCTTTTACACACAGATCCCTGGTGCCACAATTTCTAACGTGGCTCTTCTGTCTGGATACCGGGTGCTCTATGGAATGACCAATGGGGAGCTCTTCATGTACTACTGCTTGGAGGCCCATGTGTTCCCACTAGAAGCTCATGGGAACTGCATCACCTGCCTGATGACCAGCCATGGAGAGAAATGGCTGCTGAGTGGCTCAGAAGATTCACTGCTGTGTCTCTGGGATGTCCAGCTCTGCTCCTGGGAGCACCAGATGTTTTTCCAGAAGGTAGAATTTCTGCTCTTCCACAAAGTCGGTATGTCCAGTTAGAATGTAAAACTGACATTAGAGAAGAGATGGAAGATAATCCTGAGGGAACAGAGGAGCATTAACACCTGAAGACTTCAGAACAGCTACCATGATGGGGAATTAAAATATTAACATTTCCTCAAATCTCAATCTCAGTACATGAAGCTTTTCGCAGTAATTGGCAGCACTTAGCTGATCTTAAGAAAGCTAGACTCAGATCTAATTCATACTTGCATGGGAGAGTCCCAGGAAATGCCTGAGATAGGAATATTTTTAAAAAAACCCTCTAGAAGGACATTGTAAATCTTATCTGTACTGTGCCAAGAAAGCGATTTTGTATCTGTTTTGTGAAAAGAAATTAAGTGATTGAGGGAGAGCTAGAGTTTACTATTAAATTGACTTGGGTGCCTTCTTTATTTAGATATATTCTCCTGCCCATTATTCATAATTTTCATTCTAGAGATACTAGCTTTCAGAAAAGAGGCAGGTTAGCACAAACAGTTTGTTGGTGTGGTCCATGGAGATGGCATTCCTTGAATGGAAGGACTTGGACATAATCCACTTTCAAGGCAGAGACCCTGAAATAGATGGTAGCATAGATATCCAGCTTTCAAGCAATTAAGGGTTTTAGAGATGGATAATCTAGTCTAAATCTGACTGCATTGAAGAGAAGTTCTAGAAAAAATATATTTTCCTTCTGTTTGCTATCACTCCAACAGTGGCTTTTATGTTTATCTCTAGAGACTCACCTCAGCAAGAGTATTTGTCTCCTGTTTGCTCTCCTACTGATCTGTGTCTTGCATGTTGTTTTTCAGTTTGTTTTCTGGTAGAATTGAATTACTTTTCCAAAACATTGTTTGTTTGTTTGTTCCTTTCTTCCCAGCAAGATTCCTTTTCCCGTGACATTTTCTGTGCATGTTTTTCAATGGATGACCAGTACCTGTTCATCAGCTCTTTGGATCAATGTATTACAGTGTGGGATGTCTCACGAGGTAAGCATATTTTTAGGAATCTGCAAGTTTGGACACTGTTACCTTATAAGGTAGCACTCTCAAAGCTTGTCATAAAGTTGGGGGAATAAACAAAGGGGCCTTCATCTCCTTCAAATGTGTGGTAGGATGTTGAAGCAGGTGTGGGGCGAGGAGGGGTAAAGAAATTCAAGATAGTAGCTCCAACTGTGTGATTAAAGCTGCTATCTCGATCCCTCCTGCTGACATGCTGTGAGGTGCAAAAAATGTTTGAACATAATTTGAGTTCCTTGTTGTGACACTGGCATGTTCCCATTTTCCACAGGGGCCCTCTTAGCAGTTCAGTTTGTGCATGCAAAAATTACCAGGATGGTGTCAACAGCTGAAGGCTTTGTTGCAACAACACAACTTGGCTACCTCATGCGGGAGAGATTCCACTGCCCACAGGCCATCAACTTTTGCCATGATATGCTCAGCAGTGTTAAAGCAACGTACACAGTGAAATCTCGGCCAAAAGAGAGCCAGAATCCAGGAGAGATTCGGGGCAATCTAAGGAACGCTCCGAGCTGTACCAACAAGCTATCACAAATTTGTAGGATTGTGTGAAGTAACGACAAAGACTGACAAAGAATGACTCGAATATCTACCTTGTCATCCACAAGTGAATTTCACTTGGTTGTTTCCTCACTTCCTTAGAGTATTTGTTTATTTTTCTGCCTTTACTATTGTTTATAAATAATACAAGGCAGCAAACATACCTAATACTCCTCCCTCCTCCTATTTGCCCCACAACAGCCCTGTGAGGTGGGTTGGGCTGAAAGAGAGTGACTAGCTCAAAGTCACCCACTCTGTTTTTTATGCCCAAAGCAGGACTAGAACTCACAGTCTCCTAATTCCTAGGCCAGCACCTTAACCACTAGTTCAAACTGCTTCTTATTTCCTTATTATCACTGAACCTTGAGTTCTGGAATAGAATGACTACCTAATATAGGAGACAGCAACCTTTTAGCAGTGGACATTTGGGAGAGCTTACATAATACAGTGATAGGCTATTTCTTCTTATTTTTTCTGCTAGGATTTAAAAGTATTGTATGAGTTTAATAGAAGAATAAGGACAATCCACAATGGATTATGAAAATGTCAGAATTCTTAGAAATGGCAAAACTGATCTGTTTAGTCAGAGAGAGAAAAACACCAAAACTTTTTTGAAAGATTGAAAACTTATATGGGTTTTGTTATGTTTGGAGAATAATGGAGACCAGACATCTGACCAGTGACTTCAAACTCTTTAATAACAGTAGATAGAACAGAACAGAGCAAGGCTATGGGCAGCAGTAACCCTTTTACAGGGTTGGCTGCTACCCTATTAACCAATAATATGTGCAACAAGTTCAACTAATACCCAATAAGAAGTGTCCTAATATTGGCCAATCAGGGACTTGTTATGGACCAATCCTTGTTCGTTGTTTAAGGACCAATCGGGTGTGCAGGCTTTCAAAACCCGCTTTGCATTTGGGCTTAGTTACTTTTTATTGATTCACAACACCCCTCCCCCTTGGGCTCCGTTTGAGGGGAGCTGTAACAAAATCCTCAAGATAGACAGGCCGTTTGGTCTGTCTGGATGATTTCCGTGGTTCCACCGGGTTTGGCCTAAAGTCCGGTTCCGGTGGAGCGTTTGGATGATCTCTGTTAAGCTCCGTTTCGCTGCATGGAAATTCCGTGCTGCTTTCATTGTGGTTGTCCCCACCAATCAGTGTTTCTTCGGGGTTTCGCAGTTCGGTTTCCCCCGTGTTCACGTCCCATGGGAAATTCAACTCCCTCCCGCTTCGATTCCCGGTACTTCGCTGGGCCGTAGGGTTTCCGTTGGCCTGCTATCTGTCATATCGAAGTCAATTTCCTCGATATTTCCTCTCCCCTCAGTTGGTGAACCCGGGGAGCCATGGGCGCTGGGTGGTAATCTCGAACGGAGTTGGTCTATGTGGCGTTTCCACACCCTCCCATCGTCTGTTAGCAGGCGGTAAGATCTAGGCCCTGTGAGGTGGGTAACGGTTGCGGGTATCCATAAAGGGTCGCCGGAGAAGTTTTTGGCAAAGATTAAATCGCCTACCTTAAATTCCCGGCATTTGCTGCTGGAGCCGAAAGGCTTTTCGGGTGCGTATGTGGGGTGGAGCCGGTCAAGGTGCGATCGTAGTTTCCGCCCCATGAGAAGTTCGGCGGGCGTTTTGTTGGTAACGCTGTGGGGCGTGATGTGCTGCAACAATAAAATTCAATTGATTTTTTCATTGATGTCGCCGAATTCCATTTTGTGGAGGGTCTTTTTTACAAACTGTACCATGCGCTCTGCACGTCCGTTCGCTGCAGGGTGCGCGGGCGAGGTTAGCGCATGGCGGATGCCCCGGTCAGCAAGATATTGTTCAAATGGTAATGCTGTGAACTGTGGGCCGTTATCTGAAACCAGAACGTCCGGAAAACCATGTGTGGCAAATAGTCTGTTTAATTTGTTGATAACTGAGTCTGTTGTAGTTGTGTTCATTCGATGGATCTCGAGCCAATTTGAATAGGCGTCGACTGTAATAAGGAAAGTGTGCCCTTTTGTAGGCCCCGCAAAGTCAATATGAATACGGGACCATGGTCCCCTCGGAGTTTCCCATTCGGTTGGGCTTGCTTTAGGTGGGGCATTGCTGATGTCCTGGCAACGTTGACAAGTAGCGACCCAGGCCTCGATTCTTTTGTCGATTCCCGGCCACCAGGCGTAGCTCCGTGTGAGTGCTTTCATTCGCACGATGCCCGGATGTCCGTCGTGCAATACCGCTAAAACAGTTCGTTGCAGTTTGCCCGGGATTACGACTCTATCTCCCCACAAGATGCAGCCCTTTTGGGAAAACAGTTCGGTTTGGCGGGCTTTGAAAGGCACCCATTCAGGTGATAGTTGTTCTGTTGGCCAACCACGTTCAACCCAGCGTAGGATGTGTTGCAGGACCGGATCTCATTTTGTTTCGAGAGCAATGTCTCTCGCCGTCAATGGCGGCGCGTGTAGAGCCTCAATTTGCAGCGTTGTGATGGTTGGGGCTAGATCTTCAACCGATTCTGGGAGTGGTGTTCTGCTCAATGCATCAGCGTGGAGAATTGATTTCCCCGGGCGGTGTTGCAAGGTGTAGTTGTACACCGCCAAGAATTCAGACCAGCGGGTCATTCTGGGGGACAATATATACGGGGTTGGTTTATTACCCGCAATAATCCCCAGTAGTGGTTTATGATCAGTAATTATTGTAAACGCACGCCCATACTCATATTCATGAAATCGTTTAACTGCAGCCACAATAGCTAAAGCTTCTTTATCCAGCTGACTATAATTTCTTTCAGCTTTAGCTAAAGTTCGCGAAAAAAACGCGACGGGAGCTTCTGCTCCGTACGGTAATACGTGGGCCAGGATTGCTCCAACCCCAAAAGGTGAGGCGTCACAAGTAATAGTTAACGGCAGAGTCTCGTTGTACTGCATAAGTACAGAATCAGAAGTTAGCAATTTCTTTACTTGTTGGAAAGCGTATTGTTCACGTTGTCCCCAAACCCATGTTGCTTTTTTGTCTAAGAGTCTATGTAATGGTTCAGCTACGGTTGCTTTATTGGGTAAAAAGACGTTATAAAAATTGATAAGTCCAAGGAACGCCTGTAGATCTGCCTTGTTCCTTGGAGTGGGGGCCTTCTTAATTGCCTTTAATTTGTCCTCAGTGGGATGGATTCCTTGACTGTCCAGGAGGTATCCCAAGAACTCTACCCTTTCGGTACATAACTGGCATTTATTTTTTTTTACTTTGAGGCCGGCGTCTTGGAACCTTTGTAAGACCATTCGGAGTCGTTTTTCTAGAATGTCTCTGTTAGGGGCGGCGATGAGTACATCGTCGAAATACGGTACGACCCCTCTTATTCCTTGTAACAGCCTTTCCATTAAGCTCTGAAAGATTCCTGGAGCGACGCTCACCCCGAACTGGAGCCGGTTGCATTTAAATGCGCCCCTATGCGTGACGATAGTTTGCGCCTCCGCGGTGCCCGGATCTACAGGCAATTGTTGATACGCCTGCGCTAGGTCTAATTTAGCGAAAACTTTCCCGCCTCCCAGGGAATGGAGCAGGTGTTGCACTACCGGCACTGGATATGCACTTTGCTGAAGTGCGTGGTTTAGGGTGGCCCGGTAGTCTCCGCAAATTCTCAGTGACCCATCAGGCTTGATAGGCGTCACTATTGGGGTTTCCCACCGGGCGTGGTCGGTGGGTTCCAGCACGCCCTGTGCTATTAGCTTATCGAGTTGTTCGTCGATTTTAGGTTTCAGGGCGAACGGCACCCGACGCGGCTTAAGGCGGATGGGTGCTATCTCGGGGTTCAAGTTAAATGAGATCAGGGTCCCCTTGTACTTGCCTAGTCCGTTCGCGAAAACGTCTTGGAATTCTTGCACGAGGGCTTCCTCCCAATCGTTGCTCTCGGCACGGTGGACTCCAGCTACAGTGATTCCAAGCGGTCTGAACCATTGAAGGCCTAAAAGACTAGGCCGGTCACGGTCCACGACAGTCAGTGGCAGTGCGACGGTGCGGTCCTTGAAAGAGACCTGGAATCGGTGGGACCCGACAACGGGAATTCGGTTACCCTGGTAATCTTTGAGTATAACCCTTTGAGGGTTGAGGTCTTGGCGGCGAATCGTCGGAACGAACTGTTGGAGCGTCTTCCAGGACACCATTGAGAGGGATGATCCTGAGTCCACCTCCATCACACAAGGTTTGTTTTCGATAGTGACCTTCACTCTGATTTTCCCGGCATCTAGGGATGTAGCGTGGCCTATGGTAATATCTGGTGGGTCTCTTCCCGCCTGGTTTCTTCCCGCCTGGTGGAAGTGGTGGATGGTTTGTTTCTATAGGAGTGGCTTCCCCATTGGTGATTCAGTTTGTCTCGGGGTGTGCCGATGAATCCTGAAGACTGGCATTCGGCCTGTCGGGGTTTGGAGTTGGAGTTTTGTTTGCTTCTGCAAACCTTTGCGATGTGACCTCTTTTCCCGCAAACGCGGCAGAGTGCGTCGAGGAATTTGCAGCTGGATCGTGGATGATTCGCTCCACATCCTGCACAAGGTCGAAGTGAGCGTTGTGTGAACTGGTCTCGTTCAGTTCGGAGTCGGTTGACCTCTTCCTCATCACTTTCTGACGGGGATTCTAGGTCTTCGTGGTGAGTCGATACCGGGTGTCTCTCTGAGCGAGGCGAGGTATCATTGGCGAGTTGACGTAGCGGTGCGCTGGTGCGGCGTATTCGGGCTGCCGACTTCTTGGTTGCTTCTGCTGCAGTGGCTTCTTTAAGGGCATCGGTGAGGCTGATGTCCCCCTTAGCCATGATTTTGCTCTGGATCGTGCAGTCTTCTAGGCCCAGAACTAGGCGGTCTCGGAGGGCTTCTTCTAAGTTAGAGAATCCGCAGAGGCCTCCAAGGTTTCGGAGGTCTGCGACGTAGTTGGCAAGGCTTTCGCCTTTCCGCTGGACCCTCTGGTAAAATTCGTGCCTTCTGACTAAGGTTGGCACGGTGGGCACGTAGTGGGCCCATAGCAAAGGCTCGAGGACGTCCCAGTCCATCGCTTTTACTTCGGCTGGCTTGGCAAGTGATTTTGCCATTTTAAACACGGTAGGCCCGCAGTGGGTTAGAAATACAGCTCTTTTTTTGCTGGCTGTTGCATCTTTCAAGTTGTTGGTCTCCAGAAACATCTGGAACCTGTCCATGTACGACTCCCAGTCTTCGGTTTCTGGGTCGAATGGAGCGGGTGGTACGGTACCGCTGGCCATGTTGCCGTTGATAGTGCGTGTTCGACCACGTGCTCTGTGTGTTGCTCTGTAGATCAGTCAGCTCTTCGGTCTCCGCATCCCACCTTCGTCGCCAGTGTTATGTTTGGAGAATAATGGAGACTGGACATCTGACCAGTGACTTCAAACTCTTTAATAACAGTAGATAGAACAGAACAGAGCAAGGCTATGGGCAGCAGTAACCCTTTTATAGGGTTGGCTGCTACCTTATTAACCAATAATATGTGCAACAAGTTCAACTAATACCCAATAAGAAGTGTCCTAATATTGGCCAATCAGGGACTTGTTATGGACCAATCCTTGTTCGTTGTTTAAGGACCAATCAGGTGTGCAGGCTTTCAAAACCCGCTTTGCATTTGGGCTTAGTTACTTTTTATTGATTCACAACAGGTTTTTTGCTGAAAGAAGAAATAAATGACATGACGATTTATGGATTTCAAGATTAAGAAAGATTTGAATTAAAAGAAGGACTTATATAATATCTAAAATGGAGGAGGGGCAATAAGATTGTAACTATCTATTGAAGGTTAGAAGTCATTTATATATCTTTTGAGTTTCTTTTTTCCACTTTTTTGTTTGTTTCTTTTTATTCTATGGGGAAAAATCATAATATAAATAAAGAACTATGAGTGTATAGGATTTGTTTTTTCTTAGCAACCCTATTTAAGTTTTCATTAGAAATATTTTGGGCTCCTTACCTCAAAATAGCAGAAAACTGGTCTACTGGTTTTCAGCAATGGTAGGAAGCCATCCCAGGTGCTGCTGCAGGAAAGATTAGGGCTGGCTCGTTCTCTGTATCCTAGACTGCGTAAATCCATCCATGTTGGATATTCATGATCAGCTCTGACCATTTCTTTCTTATGGCAGGTAGCTGAATGTTTGAAGACTCATCAGGATCATATTTGTACAAAATTATTTTATAATCACTGGATTTTTTTAATGAATGACATCTTCTAATTAAGGGAAATAATGGAGTTCAAGAGCAGTTTACAAATGAAAATGTTGCAGAATTCAAAATGGGTTTTAAATGCATATGTATTTGTAAATAAATCAAATATTGCAAAATAAGTGTGTATTCCCTATTTTTTCTTTTTTCTTTTTATAAAGGAACAAAGACTTCTAGAAAGCCTATCTGAGATATTTGTTAAATTATAAAATTGCATTAGTCCTAGACTTACAACCACAATTGGTACCAGAAATTCTATTGCTAAACAAGATAACTGCTAAGTGAATTGTGCCTGATCTTCCAATCTTTTTTGCTCTGGTATTTAAGCAAATCACTTCATGTGTTAAGTGAGTCCTGCAGGTCCAGGCAGAAGAAGAACATCATAGCTTCAAAATCTAAGGGACTGGTTTGGACAAAACTCAGCAGCACTTTTTCATGCAGCAGTTGAGAAAAATAGGATTGCCAACATGATCGCCAATGTCTGATGATATAGCACAAAAAGAAAAAGATCAAATTTATATTAAAATTCTCTGTTGGTTATGTATGATAGGAGATGTAAAAGTGGCTTATTCAGTACAGGCAATCCTCAATTTACAATCATTAATTAAGTGATGATTTGAAGTTATAATGGCACTGAAAAAAGTGTCTTACAATTGGACCTCACACGACTGTTGCAACATCTCCTTGGTCATATGATCAAAATTCAGGTGTTTGGCAACCAGCATGTGTTTACAATGCTTTAGTGTCTAATTTGTGTCATGGGATCACCAACTGCAACCTTTCCAGTTAATTTCTGACAAGCAAAGTCAATGGAGGAAGCTGCATTTGCTTAGCAACTATGTGATTCACTAAACAACTGCAGTGATTCATTTAATAAGAACAGGAAAAAGGTTTATAAGATTGGCTTATAACATTTAGCAACTGCCTTGCTTATCAATAGAAATTCTGGTTTCAATTGTGGTCATACATTGAGGACTATATTGTAAAAGCTCTGAAATATCCTGTCTAAACCTTGATATACTTTCCAATGTGTTCCTGAATCTATCCCTAATGTTAGGCCAATCCTTACACCCCAACACTTTTGGTAGGGACGGGGGGAGCTGTGTGTGATGAATGTGAACAATCAGTAGACATTTCTTCTAGAGGCCCTGCATTTCAAGCTACAGAGCTACTTTACATCCTACATTCTTTCCCCTAAATAATTTGTTTTAATAAGCTGTAAAAATGTACATAAATGCACAAATGTAAAGCAGAACCCACTTCTGCTTTTGGAACACAACTGCAATAATCTAATATGTTGCTCAATCCCAGCAACTTTAAGATGTGTGGACTTCAATTCCCAGAATCCCCCAGTCTGCAATTATGCGAGTTAAAAGTCCACACACATCTTAAAGCTGCCAAGGTTGAGAAACATGATATAGATAAAATAATTGATGAAACAATTCCCATCCCTTTTGTATGTGAGTGCAAGGTCACAATATATTTACAAAGGAGCAAAACTTGAGATGCAAAGCTGCTTTTAGTCATTTGACTTCTGCTTTCAACCATCCCCTTCCCTTGAACTATTCCCACCTGTCAATTGTTAGGGTGCTTTCTATCCACTTGTGCAAAAAGCTGGGGCAAGTTTCGACGTTTCTAACCTTGCTTTGCCTCTCCCATAATTAGACCCACCAGCTGTTTTTGACAAGCAACAGCAGCGGAAAACCATGATGGGAGAATCCACCACCCCCTTGGTTTTTCTTGCACACAATCAACAGGGGCACTGCCATTGGGGGGCATCGTGCCTGCGGCAGGAGAGGGACCAGCAATCGAGCAAACCCAGGCAATTTTAGGCAGTGTCCATTTTCTGCGGTTTAAGAATTGGGCGGATAGTACTTTAAAGTTAAACGACCCTGGGCGACTAATGCCAATTCTGCAATGTTAACTCTTTGCGCGCTGAAACGAAGCTGAGCCCCGAGGGCTTGACGTCTCAATCCTTGCATCTAATACAGTGAGCAATTGGTGTTCATTGTTTTTAGGAGGTCCACCGTCCACGCCCCTTCTCCTTTGGGTGTGTCACTGTAGCCTTTCTTTCATGTCTCCTCCTTGATCTTAACTCCTTCCAGTTTTTCCTTTCTCCATTTCCCAGGATCCAATTCTCTGCATATAGCCGTTATCCACCTTTGCCTGGTTGTGACGACTTTGACGACTCATTTAAGGTCTTGTGCTGTACTAAGAAACGTTGGTCGCTTGAAAAAAACCGTTGGCCGTTACCGATCATTCTCAGTATCCGACTTATTTGTTTTTATTTGATTTGTCAATCGCTTACAACATAATAGGCATAAGTATATACATAGTTATGAATACATGAAATGGGTACATATAAGAAAAATAAAAATAAAAAAGGACAGGGACGGTAGGCACATTGGTGCGCTTATGCACGCCCCCTAATTATTAACTTATTATCTCCCTCCCTCCCCAAATGCCTTTCTATAAAATAAGAACTATGGACCATTGAGTGTCTAGATGGCAAAGCACCAACATTTATTCTTAAGACACCCATCTCTCTCTCCATTCTCTATGGTTTTCCTCTTATTCTAGAGATAGCTTTTCCGTTGAGATCGTTCCCTTTCCTTTCCGGCGCCTCCCTCGACCACCGTCCCAAAGGTTCCGGGCGCTTCCTCCTAGAATCCGGGGGAACGTGCGCACTGACGCAAAGCGCAGGCTGCTTCGGGCGCGCCGCTGCGGCTGACGGAAGGGGGCGGAAGAGTCGTCGCCGCCGCTGCTGCCGCCGCCGCCGCCGCCGCGGGAGCCCCAACATGGCGGCGGGGGGAGGGGGAGGAGGCGGCCGAGGGAGCAGCAGCGGAGCGAAGATGGGGGGCAGGACTGGGGGGACCGGAGGAGGAGGAGGGGGGGGCGCGGTGGCGGCGCCTGCTCCCGAAAAGCTTCCAGTCCACGTAAGTCTGAAGGGGGCGGGGGAGAAGAAAGGGGGCGCCTCCCCATGGATTGACCTTTTATCTCTGCCTCACCTGCCCAGAACTTGGGGGATCCTTCCCTCTGCTCTTTCCTCGGTGTGGGTGCTGGTGGGATGGGCTGCTTTGCAAACCTTGAGCCCCCTTTGCCTAAGGTTAGAGGACCTTTTTTCTCCCCAGCTCCGACCCCACTTCTCTTTGCATTGTCAGTGTTAGAGGCAAGATGCATGGAAACCCCGCTGCCTTTTTCCATCTCCTTCCTTTCTCCTCCTCCCCCTTTTCTTTCTTTCTTTCGAGGAGTATTTTCCTTACTTTGTGAGCTGTCAAGTAAAAACAAAAAGTTTTTTTTAAAAAAGTGGGCTGGCACCTTTAATTTAAAATGGCTAAGTGCCACGTGTTTTGATGGTTTTCATTTTTATTTCATTTGTAATAGGTTTCTGTTTTTGAACTGGGCAGTTCAAATACATTTTGCATCCTTTTTTAAAAATTTTATTTTAACAACGTTGCGGTTCTGTTTCATACCGATGTGGACAATGTGTCTTTATGTCACTAAAGCCATACTGGTTTGGCACAGAATCCAAACCAAACACTAAAGAAAGTATCAGGACAGCAATTGAAATGTTTATGTAAAAATGCAGGTTGCAAAATTGCAGCTGCAGAAGCAAAAAGAATGGCTAAATAATGGAAATTGTCAAATAATATTTTTTCTTAGAAAATATTTTTTCTTAGAAAACATCCTTTGGGCAGTAAATCGCATGTGTGGATGCTGATTAGTTTCTAGGAAGTATAGTTTATTACAATCTCATTCTGAGTTTGTGGCACCAAAAAAATAACAATGGCCAATTTAACATTCTGCTGTAGTGCCTTTGTGGTAAGTGAAAAATAGTCTTGAATTGGGGAGCAATAAGGCTGAATGTTGTGTTCTTCCCTCCATCTTATTACCTAAAACCAGGCTGGTTTGTAAGACATGGTGCATCCATTTGCCTTTCCAAAACATAGATTGCTCCATCAATTCTGTTGCGGCTAATGCTGTATCTTAGCATCTCATAGAATGGGGGTACAAGAGAAGAGCTCTGCACATTTTCCCCTTTTTTTTCAGCACCAGGCACATAGAACCACACCAGCTTCCACTTTCCATAAGAATCCTCTTCTGGCATTTTCTGTCTTTTAAAACAACTCCCCTCTTCACAGTTCTGTTGAGAAAAAATGGCTGAGATTCCCCTCCCATCTCCATAACAGTGCTAGACAGCTCAGTGCTGTTCAGATGTTTTGGTACTTCTGCTGCTTGTCAGCCTCACTCAGATTTTCTTATCATTCTAACATCGGTTATAATGCTGGTATAATTCATACAACATAATTCATACAGCAAAAATATCCTAATTGATAAAATGTAAAGACAATTATAGCTATCCGCGGCATCCATGTAAAGTTACAACACTAATGTTAAAAACAGTGTAAATTTATCTGAAACCCACAATCTAGCCCAAAATCCAGAAGGTTGAATAAATGTTTCTTTTTTAACTGTAAAGGAAAGCAGGCTAAATATAACGATTTGAGTATTAATGTGGTAGAATACTTCCAGTAGTAATAGAAAAAAGTGCATATTCCTCATCGGACTAGTGCAATTATCAATCTGGTGCAGTATTTTTCTCCTTATTACAATATAAAAGGGATAAGGGAGGAGGTCATATTTGATGAACTCCACCTATTCCTGGCCTCAATAGCAAAATGCTGCACTGCCAATGCTTGCAGAATCTGTCCTTCAGATTAGGAAGAGAACAGATAATCTGAGGTACTGTTTAAACATTTAAACAGGTGAATCCCTTAATGTACACTGGAGATGCCATCACTGGTATGGAAAAAAAAAAAAAGCTGTAGTGAGTGTCAAAGGATTAGGATAGTTACCACCTCATGCATCTCCGTTATGCAGATAGTCCTCGACTTACAGCAATTCGTTTAGTGACTGTTCAAAGTTACAAGAGCACTGAAAAAGGTGACTTATGATCATTTTTCACACTTATGACTGTTGCAGTGTCCCGGGACATGTGATCTCCTTTTCTGACAACCAAAGTCAATGGGGAAGCCGGATTTACTTTACAACCACATTACTAAATTAACAGCCGCAGTGATTCACTTAACAGCTATGGCAAGAAAGAGCATAAGATGGGCAAACGTCACTTAACAGCTTGTCTAAGCAACAAAAATGTTGGGCTCCATTGTGTCTGTAAGTCAAGGACTACCTGTATGCCTGCTTCCCAAGAGAGTTCTTTGAGCCAGTTTTTGAGTTCAAGACTTTTGATGGTGTGAGTGCCTCTTCTGTGAGAGTGACTTTAGACCAGGGGTGTCCAGCCTTGCTGGCTGAGGAATTCTGGGAGTTGAAGTCCACAAGTCTTAAAGTTGCCAAGGTTGGACACCCCTGCTTTAGACTGTGTGAATGGGCTCCTGTACACTTATGAATTGCTATTTATTACTCTCCTCTATACTTGGCAGCAGAGTTGGCTCTCTTGGTGATAATAAAATACTGATTAGTGGTTGGAGACACTGAGGCAGAGCAGTCGGCCATCTTGAGACGCAAGAATAATTGTTGGGTGTATTGACTGATAACCAAGAAAAAACAATCTTTTGGCAGTGCCCATAAGGCAAACCAATTCCATGTGGCAGTGCATTTGGTGACCCATGCCCGCTTCGTTAAGCAAACAAATCATGATACAGTGCCTCATCCACAAAGTCTGGTGCTGCACAAAAATTGCCTCATGCAATGTTTTTTTTCCAGCTTCCCCTGTCAGAAATTAAATATAATCTATCTGGCCTTTAGTACCGGCAAGGAAATCTGGATCTTTTAAAATCCATTTTGAATGCAAAATAGATATATATATATATTTCTGGCTGTGAATTTTGAATGTTTCTAGTGCCTGAAAACTGGTGGTATTGTTTTGCTTTTTTGCATATCCCTCAGCTTGGATTGGAACCAGTTTAGAAAGAAAAATTACCCTCATGACATTTCTTCCCTTATTGGGTATTTGTGTGTGTGTGTGTGTGTGAGAGAGAGACAGAGAGAGATCTTTCAATATCTCTTATGATTTCTTACAGGTAGAAGATGCCCTCTCTTACCTGGATCAAGTGAAGATCCGTTTTGGTAGTGACCCTGCCACCTATAACGGTTTCTTGGAAATCATGAAGGAGTTTAAGAGCCAGAGGTAACGTGAACCATGGAGAATCCCCCCCCCGCCCCCGCTGTTTCCCTCCTTTGATTGGTTTGACAGAGCATGGAACCCTCCCTGAGCCTTGTGGGAGATTTCAGGAAAGAGAGGGAGCAAACCATCTCTCCTACATCCATTCTCCTTTGCCTGATTTAAGCACCCACTTGTTCTTCTTGTCTTGTCTTGCGTCCAGCATTGACACTCCAGGCGTCATCAGACGTGTCTCTCAGCTGTTCCACGAACACCCTGACCTCATCATTGGCTTCAACGCTTTCTTGCCCCTGGGTTACCGAATAGAGATTCCAAAGAATGGAAAGCTGAATGTTCAGTCACCTCTCACTGGCCAGGTACGAAGAGCTTTATCATGTTTTATTATGTTCCTATCCTGGTATCTGCAGCTGACAATCTGAGGCACCTGGATCGTCTCTCGCTGAGCTTTTCACGGTCTTTTTTTTTTTTTTCCCCCATCCTTGGAACATTGTGACGGTGCTCCTTTGATTCCGCCTCTCCCTGGGACCACAAGAGCATCCACAAACAGTGATGAAGCCCTTTCTCTTCCCAGCGGCGCTACTTCATTGCATAGGTCCAGGAGACTTTGCAGGAGAGCACAGTAGCAGTCCAGCTTTCCTTGAATAGAATACAAGTAGCATGAGAGAGTCAATAAGAGCTGACATTAGAGGTCCGAGTACTACAGTTGTTCTTTCTTTTGAGAGGTGAGGTCAATATTGGTGGCATTATGCTAAAGCAGGGGTGTCAAACTCAACGCCCGCAAGCCAGATCTGGCCCACGGGGTGCTTAGATCTGGCCTGCAGGGCCACTCTGGAAACAGTGAAGGACCGGCCTGTGGTGCCTCTGCCAGCTAAAATGGAGCTCTGTTTTTGCTGGCAGAGGGCTGCAGCAGTTCGTCGCGGTCAAAAATAGATGTTGAGCTAGCCACGCCCACCCTGGCCAGGCCCACCCCCTGGCCCTCTGAGGTTAAACACAACCCTGATGCAGCCCTCAATGAAATCGAGTTTGACACCCCTGTGCTAAAGGATCACTCAAGTACTGCCATCCAGAGAAGGTCTGTATATACTATAATGAGCAGAGTATCTCTTTTGCATACCCAGGTTGGAAGTGTTTCTGTTTAAAAGGAACTTGGGGTGGGTGGCCCAGGGATAATGACCTTTCTCTTTCTGAGTTGCGGGAAAGCCTCTAAAAATAACATAATCGCTCACTCTAATATCAGATGAATTGCCGTGAACCCAGGGACCTTCCTTGGATTTCATCTTCCATCATCCAAGCTAGCCGTGGTCAGTGAAGTCCAACATTATTGGTATCTCTGAAAAGAAAGTTTCTTGCGTTGTGAATCCAAGCAATTCAAGCATTTGCTACATTCCAACCCCCTGTTATGAGTCAGATACTGAGACAACAAGGCTCTATCTGTGTGTTGAGGGACAACAGGCAGGGCTACTTGTAGGCCTCATGTCTACATTTATCAAGGGAATGACCCTTAGAATTTGTTCTGATACAATTCATTCCTCACACAGTGACTTGCATTTCCTCAGATATCCCTGGAGCCGGTTCAGAACCCTCTCTCTGGCAGCAGTCTAATGCTACACTACTGCCAGGAGAACACCCACAACCATGGAGACTGTCCAGAGGATTTCCGTCAGCAGCAACAGCCCTGCAAGGATGATAAGGTTCAGATGCCCCTGGAATCCGATTCAGTGGAGTTCAACAATGCCATAAGTTACGTGAATAAAATAAAGACCCGATTTCTTGATCACCCTGAAATCTATCGTTCCTTCCTGGAGATCCTTCACACCTATCAGGTAAAGGAGAATGCTCCCCCCCAGTCCAGAAAGCGGTATGGGTAGTGGGTGGGGTCTGTCTTTGCACACATGAAGTCTTCCTCCTATTTCTCTTTTCTCAAACACAAAAGCTGAGTTCTTATTTTATCTGACCAGAGTAAAATCAAATAGGGGACTTTTATGGGAACCCAGCCACTGCCCTAAGCGTATTGTGCAGAAACCATTATATTGTTTGTTGTTTGGATGTACGTAATGGGAAGACAGGAACTGTACTTTGTTAAACTGGGATTAGGAGTGAGAGTGCGGTAGCCCAGGCACGAGATGCTACCCTAGACTAATGCTAGTTTTGCTTTAAACAGGCACAACTAACATAACATTTCACAACAGAGAGGCAGTTCGGTGTTGTTTTCTGGGTAGAAACTAAGTGAGGTGAATTCTAGTCCTGAAAGTTGCTAGATGACCTTAAGCCAGTCATTTTCTCTCACAAGGCCAGTCCACCTCATAGGGTCATAGTTGTTTGGGGGAAAATAGGAAGTGTAACGTAAGTTGCCTTGAGTTGTACAAAATAAAAGTGGAATATAAATCTAATGACTAAAAACATTTTCTTAACTTGCAGAAGGAGCAGCTAAGCACAAAAGGCCGCCCTTTTCGAGGCATGTCGGAAGAGGAGGTCTTCACTGAAGTGGCAAATCTTTTCAGAGGTCAGGAAGATCTTCTATCCGAGTTTGGACAGTTCCTTCCGGAAGCTAAGAGATCTTTGGTACGTTTTTGCTAAAACTCTTGTGTGGCCGTTGGGAGGTGGCGGCTATCAAATATGGAGGCTGAGTGGGTGGCATGTGAAGAGTGGGAGGGGTGCTTTCTCTGTTGGGTGTGGAAGAGTCTGGTTTATTTCCTGTATTGACTGAAGGACAGCATTCGTTTTCATAGCAGAACTGCCCCACAGGAAAAATGCCTTTTGTTTGAAATCTAGTCCCTACCTTGGACAAGAATAAGAGCAGTCCCTTCCCTGGGTGTAACAAACAATTCATAGCAGCCTATTCCCCAGTTCTGGCTTGAGATGCCCTTCAAGTTTGATAACGGGAGCCGTCTTCCTCTCTGCCCTTTCATTTATTACTATTCATCGGGTGAATTTATAGAGCTCCTCACCTGGCAAACGCAACTCTGGGCAACCACCAAACTTTAAAAACAATGCAAACTGAATGGAAAACATTAACAAATAAAGTAAACAAACAGTAACCAACATCTTTCCCTTTTGGTTTTAGTTCACAGGGAATGGGCCGTGTGATGCCAACAGTATTCCCAAAATGGATCATGAGAAACATCTAGAAAACAGTAAGAAACGGTCCAGGTCTCTGTTGCTCCGTCCTGGGCCCAGCCCAGCCAAGGTATCTGAACTGAATGCAGAGCTGAGGGAAAGGGCAAGAGTGATTTTGAAGACTCTGAAATATAGGTGGCCAGTCTAGCTGAAACGTCCTGGCTGATTGGTTCTGCCCTTGAGAAGTAAAGGAGGCATTTTTATTGAAAAATGGCTGAACTCATGACATATTTAGCTATGCTGGCCTGTTAGAGTAAAACCAGCCAACTGAGGCACTAATGAAGGAGGATATTTACTTACACTAGCACTGATGATGTTCTCTAGCTTGGGTAATGAACCATCTTTAAGGAAAGAACCAAGTTCAGAGATCACCAAGGATCCCTTAACTGTAGCATAGTTTAAAGATGGACAGGTTCTTTGTCGCAAAAACTTTTCTGACAGGTTTGGTTTGGAAGAGGAAAAGGAGGAGGAGAGAGCCTGTAGTCCCCCCAAAACTTTTCACCCCAATAAATCTGTCCTACTGTAGGGTTTTTCCATAAACAGTACTATCACAGTTATAATACATTTTATTACCAGCAGTTGGCATAACTAACATAACATTTCACAAAAGAGAAACAGTTTGGTGTTGTACAAAATGTACTTTTCAGCTACATTTCTGAGATTTACAGAAAAATAATCTTACAGTAGGAAAGACAATTATGAACTGGAAAAAGTTGGTCTAAATCAGTGTTTGTCAACTTCAGTACTTTTAACACGCCTGGACCTAAGTCATCAGCTTGTTAGGTGGGGAATTCTGGGAGCTGGAAATCCGCACAGCTTAACATTGCAGAAATCGTTGAGAAACAAAATCATCCACTTTTACCAATTCTACTTTTATGTAGGTATGACTGGGAGGAGAAACAGAAGCCTATGAAGGGCAGTGTTACCCTTTTACTTTTTAGGGGATACAAATATTAACTTTGTTTGGGATCATTATGTCATGAAAGGCCAAACAGGTAAGAGCTGCTTGTAAGCACTAAGTTTCTAAGCTGCTTCTACTTCTAAAATGCTCCCAACAGAAAAAGATGAAACTGCGTGGGACAAAGGACCTCTCTGTTGCAACCGTGGGCAAATACGGCACTCTGCAGGAGTTTTCTTTCTTTGACAAGGTCTGTTATTTCTGGTAGAAACAGTTTGTAATCCATGAGCAAAGACTTACCCTTGCAATGCAAAAGAGACCTGGGATTCTGGGGGTGGGAAAGGCCCCCAAAGCTCATAAGCAAACTGCACTATCTTTGGTTAAAGCAGTTCCTCAGGTTGTATAGCCAGATGATTGTCTGTCTGAGTTAGGCAGCTCAGCTCCTGCAAGAAGTGAAATGGGAGTTTCACAGGGTCTGGGTGCCTGGCAAACAGAAGGTGCCACTTTCCTCTCTGGCTATTTTGGTAGGTACGTCGAGTCCTGAAGAGCCAAGAAGTCTATGAGAACTTCCTCCGCTGCATTGCTCTCTTCAACCAAGAGCTGGTCTCTGGCTCTGAGTTGCTTCAACTGATCACGCCCTTTTTGGGGTAAGAGAGACGGCGTTAAGTTTTGAAGTTTGGGCCCAGAGCTCCTTTAGGCCCGGGGGCGGACAACTATGGTAACGTTATGATCTGTGGACTTCAGCTCCCAGAGTCCAACTCCCAGGCTGGCTCAGGAATTCTGGGAGTTGAAGAAGTCCGCAGATCATAAAGTTGCCATAGTTGCCCAACCCTACTTTAGGTTATTGAGAAACTAATCTCCCAAATAATCTCTTCCTGAAAACATGGAGGAATGTTTTTATCAAATTAAGAATGGGACAATAGTCTCGTGCTGAGAATTGTTGCAATTAATTCACTGGAATAAATAATTATGGGGTCAATGAACCCTTGTGCTTTGTTTTTTTTAATAATAAGGCGGTATATTATACCATTGATAGTTGTATAATTGCAATTGTTAAGTAACTTTGAGAATGCAATAATCGTTTTACAGATTTTGCAGCCAAAGCCCAGGCTACTCAACAAATTGCACACAGTTGCCGCACTTGTGTAATGGTTACATGAAATATTTCATGGCTGCAGCTTTTTGTTGTTTTCAACAGTTCTTTGAAGGGATGGGCGGTCTTAAGACCAGGAATCCCTCAGCTCCATATTTCCATTTCTCCTCGGAAACCCCAAGGCTGCACAGTTGAAATTTCAGTTTTGTTTTTTGTATTTTATTAAGGATGAAATAAAATAATTAAGGATAGAGATTTCAACCGTGGCCTCTCCAGTAGCGTTGCAATCCCTTCAAAGAAAAATTGATGATGGTAATGGTGATGATGTAGTAGATGTAGATGTACCTCCTGGGAAAGATGATTGTCTGCAGTCGACCTAGAGCAGTGGTCTCCAACCTTGGCAACTTTAACACTTGTGGACTTCAACTCCCAGAATTCTCCAGCCAGCATTCCAGGAGTTGAAGTCCACAAGTCTTAAAGTTGCCAAGGTTGGAGACCACTGGACTAGAGAAATAACATGGTGATTAATGATGAAAGGCAGGCTGCCACTTTTCAGTGTGCTCTTTCTCACAAAGAGCTCTTTTACCGCTTTAAGCCTGTCAGTTTCTAGCATATGTTTGCTTGTATATTTTTTTTTGGTTTGAAGGAAATTCCCTGAACTCTTTGCTCAGTTCAAGTCATTCCTGGGAGTGAAGGAGCTCTCTTTTGCCTCCCCAATGAGCGATCGCTCTGGGGATGGGATGTGCCGGGAAATTGACTATGCTTCCTGCAAGCGTATCGGCTCCAGCTACAGGGCCCTCCCCAAGACTTACCAGCAACCCAAATGCAGTGGCAGGACAGCTATTTGCAAAGAGGTAGGTGGTGCTTGCAATTCCTCGTAGAGAAGAGAGGAGAAGGCAAGGTGGATTCATCAGACATTGGAGAACAGGACCAGGAAGGAAGATGTTCAGAAGAGCCGGCTGATTTAGTGTGTGTTTTAAATTCTACAGGTGCTAAATGATACCTGGGTCTCCTTCCCGTCTTGGTCTGAGGACTCGACCTTCGTCAGCTCGAAGAAAACTCCTTATGAGGAGCAGCTACATCGGTGTGAAGATGAGCGCTTCGAGGTGCGTCTCCTTCATCTGACAGTTGTTACGTGTGTCCTTTTGGTCAGCAACTGTTTTTTTCTGGTGCGACCGGTCTATCAGGGCAATCTGGTCTACACAACTATGGGATGGAGCATACCGCTTCCGCTTTCACCTTTTAGCTCCAATCCAAACTACTTTTTGGTTGAATGTCTATTTTACCGGCAAAGAAATAAAGGGAGGCTAGTAGAGATCTATTTCAAACTATTTAGCTCTCATCAGCTAGCCATGCCCTTTCTGGCTTAGAGGTTAATACATCTACCTAATATGCAAGGAGCCCGGGTTTCAATCCCAGAAAGGATATGGCTGGATGACGAGAGCTAAATTGCTTGAAATAAATCTATATTAGTCTCCCTTTATTTCTTTGTTGGTAAAATATACGTTCAACTAAGCATCAAGTTTCTAATCAGGAAGTCCAGCTTCCCCCATTGATTATGCTTGTCGGGAGTGCCATAAAGATATGCCAGTTGCCAAGTGTCCAAATTTTGATCATGTGGCCATGGGGACGCTGCAACGGTTGTAAATGTGAAAATTGGTCATAAGTCACTTTCTTCAGTGCTGTTGTAACTGTGAATAGTCACTAAATTAATGATTGTGAGATCTACCTGTATACTGTTTGTCAACTAAAACAAGTTGCATTATAAATGATCTATAGTCTGGAGCAGTGGTTGCCAACCAGTGGGCCAGGGACCACTGATGGTCCGCAAGAAATTTTTGGTGGTCCACAGAGAAATGTCACCCCAAAAGCAATCAATCCAGGCTGCGTGGGAACACAAGTCTGCGCCATCCACATGGCCCGCAGGAACACAAGGCTTGTGTCGCTTGCATTGTGAACAACACAAAGTAGTGAGGAGAGGGGGGAAAGGGTGGAGGGAGGGAACTTGGCCCACTCACCCCATGCACCTGGCCTGGCCACCGGGCTGCTTCTTTCCACTTCTTTCTTCTTCTGCCTTTGGCTGCACACAAGGAAAGCAGCAAAAGTCTTTCTTTCTCTCCCCCAAACTTTGTGGCAAGTCTCACAAAGACTCATTTCTGGCGGAGTTTGGGGGAGAGAAAGGAAGACTTCTGCTGCTGCTTCTGCTTTCCTTGCATGAAGCCAAAAGTCTCTCTCTCTCTCTCTCTCTCTCTCTTTCCCCCTGAGAATGGAGCTGGAGACGGTATCCTGTGATCCCAAATAAAGAATGATCGATCGGTAGGAAAACGGAGTGGGGAATTTTCCTGCAGACTTTTTATTTGAGATTTTCCCTGGGTCTCTGGTCTGCGGGATTTAAAATTATGAGTTTGGTGGTCCCTGAGGTCCAAAAGATTGGCGACCTTTGGTCTGGAGCATAACATCTTGGATTACAAGTGTATCAAAATAGTTTACTAGAAAGAGCAGTCATGAGCAGAGATCTAGTCATGATCAAGTTTTACAGGGGTTTGAGATGCCAGTTCTGGACCCAGATCCATAATATCAGTTAGTATAACAGATTTAATCTGCAATGCTGAGAATTATCTACTTATTTTCCAGTGTGAAATATACTATTCACATTTCTGGAACATTTTAACCTCTGGTATAGCATTATTGACCTTGGCATGGACCTAGTCAAACAGTGGAACTTAACAGATCTTGTTCTGTCACTCACAACTTGAATAAGAACAAGGATTTATTTTATAAAAAAGTCATTCTATGAGTATTATTTTATTCAGTAGTAAAAAAAAATCTACATTATCAACCAATACTTTTTTCATTTCAACAATTTCATTTCCCTCTTAAGTTCACTGTTCATAATTTCTTCTTCTCTCTCAAAGGTATAGATCGGTATATTATTAATTTGAGACAATGCTTTGTGCATTAAATGAACTAGACTGCAATCTGGAAAAAGTTTATATGCCACTGTGTTAGATTTTAGCACAGGAGTCCAACATATGGATGCCCAGATGTTGTTAAAGTACATCAGTTCATGCCCTGTTTGGTTGGGACTGTCAGGAATTGTGGTACAATGACTACTTTGCAGTGGAGCAGCTACAAGAAGACTGATGAATAATTGTAATAGTAACAGGCAGGCTGTTTTGGTGGTTTGGGAGAGAATGGTTTCATTGTCTGCTGTGACTGTCTCATGAGTGTGTGGGCTGGATTGTCTTAATTTCCTGCAAATAATTGTTCATGGTAAAGGAGATCCTTCCTTTTACTTCTTCACTTTTTGCAGCTGGATGTTGTCTTAGAGACCAACTTGGCAACCATCCGTGTCTTAGAAAGTGTACAGAAAAAACTGACCCGTATGTCGCAGGAGGATCAAGAGAAGTTCCGGTTGGATGACTGCCTCGGTGGCACCTCAGAAGTGATCCAGCGCCGGGCCATCTACCGCATCTATGGAGACAAAGCACCTGAGATCATCGAGAGCCTCAAGAAGAACCCTATCACCGCTCTTCCTGTTATCCTGAAGAGGTGAGCCCTATGCAGTCCCTTAAAAAATTCTGTTCCATTTCCTCCCAACCAGACTGCAACACCCAGAATTCCTAACCAGCATATCTTTGTGGCCATGGCTGGCTGAGGATGCTGCAGATTGTGATTCCAATACATCTGAAAGATTCTAGCCTAGGGGGGAAAACTTACTGAAATCGCTCCCATCCTTTTGCTTATATTTGAAATACTTGCCATAATATATCAGTGTGCCTTACACTTCCTATATAAAATGTTCTTCTCTGGTTGCTGAGCCTGGAAACAGCATTTCTTTGGAGTCTTTTATTTATGCTTGGTTTCCAAGCTCAGCGACATCCACTCTGTTTCAGGCTGAAGGCCAAGGAAGAAGAGTGGCGAGAAGCTCAGCAGGGCTTCAACAAGATCTGGCGAGAGCAATATGAGAAGGCCTACCTGAAGTCTCTCGACCATCAGGCTGCCAACTTCAAGCAGAACGACACAAAGGCCTTGCGCTCCAAGAGCCTGCTGAATGAGATTGAGAGCGTCTATGATGAGGTAAGCATTGGGGCGCCTCTTAAGCGTGGAATAGGGAGCTCTGGCTCTCTCACCCATCTACTCTCTGTATTTCCAGCACCAGGAGCAGCACTCTGAGGGAAGGGGAGCCACTAACGAGCCACATCTCATCTTCATCTACGAAGACAAGCAGATCCTGGATGATGCGGCTGCCTTAATCAGCTACTATGTGAAACGGCAACCCACTATCCAAAAGGAGGACCAGGCTACTATACGACAGATTGTCCAGCACTTCATCCCAGACCTGTTTTTCTCCCAGATGCCCGAGCACCCAGTTCCTGAAGAGCTACCCAGCGAGGAGAAGGGGAGCAGCCCCAAGGCTCACCCGGTGGAGACACGTGATCTGCGGAAAAGGCATCCACCTGGCTCACAAGTGACCCCTGTGGAGGATAAGGGATCTACCCTGGTGGAAACCCATGAGCTGAGAAAGAGGAATCCTCCTCCTGGCCCGCCTGTGAGCCCTATGGAGGAGAAGCCACCTGCCTTGGAGGGCCATGAACTGCGCAAAAGAAACCCTCCAGTCCCTCCGGCCAGCCCTGCAAAGGAGAAAGGCAGCCTGGAAAGCATCGTGCCTTCCGCCCGGTCCCACCGTACCCTGGACAATGTCTATACTCTCTTATTTGCCAATAACAACTGGTACTTCTTCCTTCGCCTTCATCAGACTCTTTGCTCACGGCTCCTCAAGATTTACCGTCAGGCGCAGAAGCAGCTGCTGGAATATCGGACAGAAAAAGAGAGAGAGAAGCTATTGTGCGAAGGCCGGAAGGAGCGGGCCAATGATCCCGCCATGGAGCTGAGGCTGAAGCAACCGAGTAAGTTGCCTTTGGTAGCATTTTGAAAGAGTTTGGGTGGAGGGAAGAGGGGAGAACAGCGTACATTGGTTGCTCTTGGGCACAAACAATCAGAGCCACTCGCCAATAGATAAAGGAAGTAGCTTCACTGTTTTCTATCTAAGTTACAAAAATCTCCCCAGACTCCTTGCCTTCCCCTGGAACAACCAGATATGGTTTCATGAATCTTGGAAGAGGTCAAGGTTATGCCTCTGGTAGCTGCCCAAGGACTCTAAGCTAGGCCCTCACTAGATCCCTCCTTCCAGCCTAGCTGGCACTTTCCCAACAGTTACACAAACTTCCAAAGGACATATGTGTGAATTAGATGTGATTTTTTTTTCTTAATGAATGGTGAGGGGTTATAAGGCCAGCAATTTTCTCAGAACCCTGTTGGAGGCAAGTTGCATCTGAGAAACTTAACTGACTCTTCATTTTGTAGGGGGAATTTTATTTTTTTTATCAGTGGAAGAGCACATCCCACGTGGACTTTTTCCTCCTGTTTGCTGCACAGGCAGGTTAAACCAAAAACTGAAGAGGTTGCCTACTTTGGGTAATGAAACATCTGCAAGAATACAACCAACGCTCAGAGGAGCCCACGCTAGTATCCTGAGCTACAGATATTCTTTTCTGTTGAAATTAAGCCAGTGATGGCAAACATTTTGAGCTCAACATGTCAAAAATTCAGAAAATGTCTAAGGTGACCCTGCTTGTGTTTCACACACATATACAAAAGAAACTTCAGCCCCTTCGGCCCCTCAAACAGGCCGTCTTACGCCATTCCCCAAGGCGCACAAGTCTTGGGGAAAGGCGCAATTGCCTCTGTGGCCCAGCACTCCTCAGGAATACCACAGACTGCTGATTTTCAGGTGATCTTTCTGTTTCTCTTGAAAGGCCCCTGCGGCCTACCAAGGCTGTCCTAGGTCGCATGAGGCCTTTGTTCTTTGAGCAGCTTCAGAGAAGGCTTTTCCATGGCTGCAGCCTCTGGGTGAAAGCATGCTCCATTTTGATGCGGTTTTCTGAGGCTTCACTTCCACCCTCTTGGGTGACTTCCAGAGGACCTGGAGGCTGTGCGAGAACACATCCCATTCTCGCATGGCTGCCACAGCCTCTGAAAATCATGCAAAGAGAGTGGAGCATGCTTTTGAGAATAGTTATTGGGTGGTTGATGAATGCTAGCAAGGTCACCCAAAACATTGTGGCCTGCCACCTTTGACACACCTGCCATAGGTTCACCGTCCCTGGACACAATTAATCCTTTCCAATGGGCAGAAATTCCTCTGAAAGTTTAGCTCTCCTGCAGATTATTTCTTCAGAAGGTCTACTCTTGTTTTCCTGGTGCAATTAGTGAATTGTTACGGGTTGAATTGCAATACTCTTTTTGCCTTGTGATTAGGGTGCATCTCAGAAACCTGATTCAGGGTGTCAGGATTCCAGCAATCGCTCTAATTAAATCATGATTCTCGAGCCAAACTTCAAAAAACTTAAAAGGATTCATTAGAGGCGACCTACTGGCACTGCCCTGTATGAAGCCAACTCTGGCATACGTAATTTACAGTCATCTGTGACCCTGTTTCCCCCCCTCCCTCCTGGGTGTCACATAAACCAGATTCTCCAATTGAGCACGTTCACAGTCTGGGTGTCATCATTCACTTTCTCCAATGAAATACATTCGTGGGCAAAAACTCTGGTATTTTAGTTACAATCTTTTAAAGGTAAGAGTTGGAATGTACTTTTGCTTTCAAACTTCTGCACTGCTCTGCCAGATTTCCTTCCTTCCCCCACCCCTCCTTTTTTTTTATGGCAACTACTATAACAGGCATAGGAATGTTTTATGAGTTGACTCGGGTTTCCAGGAGTTTCCAGATTGGAAACCTTTCCCTAATTTATGCACAGCAACTTAATTCCAAACCGCAGATTTTTGAATGCTTTATAAAAGGATAAGTTGAAACTGGACTTGATTGATAAATGAAATTTAGTTCTTTGTATGCCTGGGTCAGATAAAAAAAGATAAGAAGCCTTTTCAGTAACAGAAGCCAGATTGTGGCATTCCTTCCCCTGGAAGTTTTCCTGTTTCACCCGATCTTTGAGTTTGCTTGCATTATATCTGCTTTTGCTTTAATAATTTTGATGGATTGGTTGTCTATATTGTATTCGTTACAGAGACATTTTAATTTTCCATATCTCTGTTTAACGGATTTCAGGTGCAGTGGGCAAAATTACCATCTGTATAATCACCCCTTAGAATCTCTGTTGTCTCCGAAGTTGTCTGGCACTTAAGAAAGATTTTTAAAAAATTTAAATAAACGTTCACAACCATACATGTCATTTGCCTATTTGGTGGTTTAATGGACACCGGAAAGAATAAGACATCCCTTCTGATCTCGATTGGGGTTTCGCTATATTTTATGCTACCTGTACATACTTTTCAATGCTTTGTGATCTTGAAGTCTCCTGTTGGAGAAAAATGCTTCCGTGTTGTTTGAAACCAGAGGGAAAGATTAAAAAGCTGCATCACAGTTAGAGTGGAAGAGGGTGTTCTTTGTAAGATAGGAGTATGCAATCTCCTTTGGCTCTCCGGTGCGCTGGATATTGGCGCTGACATAGGATATTGCATTTGTACTGTGCTCCAGAATATCTAGAGCAGGGCTGTCCAACCTTGGCAACTTTAAGACTTGTGGACTTCAACTCCCAGAATTCCTCAGCCAGC